ACCTCCGTTTCATGCTGCACATGCACACGGAGCTTTAGAAATAATTAATTGTGCAAATTAATATTCCAAGGTGACCTGCGCAGAATGTGCTAATTAGACATTTGAAGTTGCGTTGACCCTGTATTGTTATTTAGACAAACTGTCTGAGGATGCAGTGTACCGGAAGTTTGTTATTCCTTCATGTGGGAGGGGAGGGAGATGTAAAGTCATATAAGAGCCTGTATTCAGGAGGGAACACTCCCAACGACTCTGTTTACTGGAACTTTGGTAACTGTGTCCTGCTGTAATGTTTCACTGTCTTGTCCCAGTATTAATAAAACGTGTGTCTTCTCATGTTTTATTCTACACAAACTGTTGTTAGATCTCTCAGGCTGACAGTATTGTCCTAAGAGCATCCAATGTTAATGCTTATGTAGCGTAAAAGTAGATGCAAAACAACATGCATAATCTCCCAGGGATGTTTTCCGCTGTTGTCTGAATGTTTGTTTAAACTTTGATGGGTGTTCGTAGACCTCCCTCCCTCCCTCCCTCGCCTGCTCGCTTCCTCCCACCTTGCTACACCTCCCTCCTATGCTTCCTCCCTCAAGCCTTCTGTAGCTCAGCGAGAAGAGAGGACTGGATGATAGAAAGAAATGTTGAACACACAGCGTGTCAGAGTTCCTGTTCAGACATGGGAATGCACCCACATGCCTACAGACATGAAAACACAGTCACACACCCACTCATTCAAACACACAAATAGCATGTGCTGTAGATGGCAGATAACACAGAAAGAAACCTGAAGCTGCTTGGTATTCTTGGAGTATATATAAACTACGAGCTGGATGTGTTTGTATGGCTGTTAGAAGGTGTGTGTGTGTGTGTGTGTGTGTGTGTGTGTGTGTGTGTGTGTGTGTGTGTGTGTGTGTGTGTGTGTGTGTGTGTGTGTGTGTGTGTGTGTGTGTGTGTGTGTGTGTGTGTGTGTGTGTGTGTGTGTATGTGTGTGTGTGTGTGTGTGTGTGTGTGTGTGTGTGTTCCTTTGTCCCTCATGGATTGGCTTTTAAAGGCCTCGGGCATGTGTGTTGTCACCGAATTCAATGCCAATCAGTGCAAAAAACGATAGGATGTCTGCCACAAACAAATTGAAGTAGATCAGATTTGCACATTGCCATGGGAACGTTCAAATTCATTATTTGATTTTTGTTACTCATAAAAGACAGGCATCCAAAGGTGTTTAGTGTCTGTAGAGAAAAGGAAGCAGTCAGTCAGGTCTGACAGTAGAGCAGACATGTAATGTAAGAATTTTAAATTAGGCCTTCCTCTTCACTGCGCAGTAAAGCTGAAATGTGTTACGTGTAACAATTCCCCCCTTCCCCTCCCTATAGCATTAGTCCAAGTGGGGTCGCTGTCACTTTGCTGAAGAGGTTGTGTTGGAGGAGGTTCTCTCAGTGCTGTCTCACTTGTTCAGCCATCTGCCGCTGTGAGACTTAATGCTGTAAAACATAAAGAAGATTCTTCATCAACAGTACAGGCTAAAAATTAAAAAGGATTATGTTGACATTTTGGGAAATATGTTTGTGTCAGATGAGAAGGTCACCCAGCATGATGACTTCCTGAAGTGTTGCCAGCCAACCAGTGTAAATCCCCATGAAACCACTAGACTCCTTTTTTTTATATTTAGTTTTGTGTACTGATTGAACATACATTTTAGGTAGGTTTTTTGACATCCCCTGCCATCCCCACTGCTGTAGCTGAGACGCTCTACAGACATTCAAATAAATGGGAGTTAATGGGAAATGGCAATAGGTTTATTCAAACTGGTGGATTAGTTAAAAAGGTAAGAAAAAATTATTGTAACAAATCAGTTTGGCAAAATCTGACATTCCTGACAGGAAATAAGGTAATACAGCATATCACAATTCTAACATAGCACAAGGTAGGGCCAGAGCCCACAGGGGCGGGTCTTATAGACTTTGAGACGGTGGCCAGGTGTTTCCAATTCCTTGATGGCCTCCAGCTCCAACAACAACATGCATAAACCTCTGTAATCTCTACATATTAACAAGAATCTCACATTGTTTCTTATATCTTATACAGTTTTCAGAGTCACTGATTTGGACCCAATTGAAAACTGATAATAGGGACGAAGGAATCACAATCACAGAGGCGGGAAGAAGACAAAGACATATATTAAAGGGCCCATGTCATGGCCATTTCCACTGATCATAATTCCATTGTTGAGGTCTACTAGAATAGATTTATATTGTGCAATTTTCCAAACTCACATTGGTTTCTCGTGTATTCACTGAATTTCACTCTCTGCCTTTAACGGCTCGTTGGAGCTCCAATAGCTCCAGCCCCCACCCTCCCTGTGAGCACAGTGTGCTCTGATTGGTCGGGACGTTGAGAATCACGCTGAGCTCCGTGGAGGTGTTGTTTCCTTGTTAGCGATACACAGCCAAACACAGCCAAACTCATCCTGAGCACACACAAAGTCACAGCCGAAGTAAAAACAATAAGTGTGGCTTGATATTGAGTAAGAAAAAGGTTGATAAACGCTGTGAGAATGGGTCTGCAGAGAGAATTTCGCCGCGATCCCAACTGTCTGTTATCAGCCTGCAGCCAGGGAGGAGAAATCAGCTGAGCTGCCTGCTCCCTGCACACAGATGTGTGTGTGAGGACGTCCGTGGATTGGTCAATTTGGACCAATCAGCGGGGGCTTAACGTAACGGCTCCGCGGACGTAACGTAACGGCTCCACGGATTGGTCCATTTCGTTCCGGGTACGGCTTGACATCATGCCGTACCCGGAACGAAATGGAAGACTCAAATGGGCAGTGACGTATCTCCAACGAGGCGTTTTGGGGAGGTATTTTCTGTGTTAGAGTTTTACTCGCTACAGGGTGTACTTTGAGGGTTTGTGACTCTGCACACCGTTTACATGCATAAAAACCTTCATAACACACAAGGGGACGGGTAATAACCGGAAAAGCATGACATGGGCCCTTTAACAATAGTGACTTTAGGAAGAAAAACTAAATTAAACTACAAACATAAGCACTAGGAGCATGACAACTGTATGCTAAGCTAAGCTAACCACTACTGACTAGCTCAGTTTTTGAAGTAGAAATTATATTTGTATCAACATTTCTGTAAATAAGGGAATTGTGTAAATAGTATTTACTAACATTTTAATATGTTGGTGTGCTTTGGGAATTTAAAACAATCCCACATTATAATACAAGATCCACCATCCCAAACACACCATTTATTATTCGTGTTTGCTGCAATTACTGATATTAAATTCACAAGAACTGCAGTACTGCTTGTTTCTTATTTGTCTCAAGAAAGTTATTCCCTGCCAAAACCTTTTATACACTAAATGCTCTCCCACTTTACGAACGTGAATGGGATTCTTAATATACTTTGTTATTGTTTGATTCTCGTTGCTGATGAGCGCCACCTGTTCATATTGTCCTTTTTGTGAAAATATGTTGCACTAAATCTGAGTCTTGATAGCTATGTCACCATGAAAGTACCCTTGTCCATTTCCCCTTCCCAAATGAATTAGATTCACAGACGTTTTGACCTGTCATGGCATGAAGAGCACAGATGGAACTAAATGATGTCTCCTTTCCATCAATTACTGCAATGCAATGCACCGATTAAGTCTCATTAGTCACAGCTTTGACAGACTAGTCAACCTGTCTGCTTCATAAAAAAGTGTATTCAGATGTCCTCCTTGCTTAAACTATGTGTAACTTCTATACATATTCATTATAACCCCTTTACGGTAACAGAAGTATGTGTAAACAACAACTTCCATGCTGTTTATTTCCTGCTTCATGCTGAAAACAGCTTAGCCCGCCAGCAGAGGCTCCTCGTGTTTTGGTGCTGATAAATGTGTCCTTCACATACAATAGGAGTTCATCTGGCAAACATTAAGGCTGCAGATTATGATAAAACTAATCAGCAGTTTTGCAATATTTAGACTCACATTCCTTTTTTAGCTTGTACTTTTTGTTTCAGGCCTATTCCCGCATGGCAAACTAACATTGCACAAACCTTTACTGTTCAGTTAGAGGAGCTCACTGTGCAGCTGTTTTTCGCCTGCAGGGAACAGGCCAAAAGGAGTTAGAGTGCTCTTTACTGAAGTATAGTATAAATGAATAATTTGTACTTGTACATCTGTCTCAGCTGTGCAGAAAACTATGTTTATTCATCTTTTCACTGTATATCATCCCCTCTTTTACTCTGTCTCTCTCTCTCACATTCAATCTTATCTGCATTGCTAATACATTTTTATTATGAAACACTTTTAAAATCGTTATGAAGGTCATATGTTATGCTTCATAGGTTGTGCTTTGCATACAGCTGGTATTTTAAATTAAACGTGCGGTAGAATAACAACTTAGGTTATGCAGATACACACATCCACACACATCCACACTTATATGTAATTCTTCTCATCCTACCCTCTGCTTTTCCCAGGGTAGTTTCTCTCTCTCTTCTTTGCCTCCTCTTGTCGTCTCCACCGCTCAGCTCTTTTTCACCCCATCTGTGTTCCACCCTACCCCTCCTACCTCCCTCCCATCCTTATTCACTTCTTCTTCTCTTCCTTCATTCGTGTTATTTTCTTTGATCGCCCTCCATTTGTTTCTCTACCCTCCCACTCTACATTCTAACAGCGCTGAAGGGATCGCTCTCTCGCTCTCTATCTCTGTCAGTGCTCTCTCTTTCCCCCTCTCTATCTGTCTTTCTCCTTTGTCTATATCTCTCTCTCCCTCCCTCCCTCTTATCCTCATCCCTCACTATCTCTCCATGCACACTTGATTCATTTTACACATTACCGGAGCATCCATCATTTTGCTGTGGGAAGGAAGAATCTCTCTTTTCTTTTCTTCTTGTTAAATCCGTGACCGTATTTTCCACTCTTTTTCCCGCTGTCTTTTCTTTTCCCAACTCCTACACTCTTTCTGCGGATCCAATCCTAAAGCTGGAACCAATATGTTTTATTTCCAGCTGGTCATCATGGCAGGGACTGTGCTGTTGGCGTACTACTTTGAGTACACGGACACGTTCCCCGTGCACATCCAGGGCTTCTTCTGTTTCGACAAAGCCTACTCCAAGCCGTTCCCGGGACCAGAGGACAACAGCAAGGCACCGCCTGTCCTCGTCTACTCCCTAGTAACCGCCATCCCCACTGTGACGGTGAGTCTGTGTTCAACTTGTACAAATAAATGTTCCTCCACAGGTGCTCATCATGCAAACACCGCTCAAGCTAAGCCCCTACATACATACACACACAATATCGACCCCAAACATGTACCACACATAGTTCCTCCTCATCTACACGTGGTGTTTGTGGATTGAAAGAGGAGAGAGCTGTGTAGGTGTATCCTCGTGGTCTCGCTGCTCCGTTTGTGTGGATGAGTTCTCATCATAACCATGGCAACGGGCACTATATTTGTCCTCCATAGAGCAGTCGGAGATAGCTACAGTGTACAGAGAGTCTGTCCTTATTTCCAGACTGCACGGCACTGAAACAGAATTAAACATCAGCTAAATGGCTTCCCCTATTTGAGACGGCACAGTTTTCGATAGCTTGCACCAGACTGTCTTCATCCAACGCTTTAAAATCCATATTTAAGCGCGTTTTAATAATTAAACATCTATACAGAATTGCAATTTGTGGGTCATGAGTTCTTGGCAACAAGCAGCGAATAAAAAATAAATATTTAACTGCTCTATTTTTACCATTCACAAATGTCATTACTATCAACTAAATCAGTTTAGAGTAAATATTGAAAAGCACAGTAAAACTATTAAACATAAGATTATACTGAATCACATTACATTTGCTATACTCTCTTGCTATACTCTCTTGTCAGTACGGTTGGATTAATAATAAAACATAGCTTCACATTCTCATCAAAGCTCGGTCTCCAGGACTGTCTGTCTTGTCCCCCAGGGCTTGTCTCTTTGATGTCCCACAGTTAAGTGGCATTATGACATGGTTGCCTCTGAGCAACATATCTTTGCAGGACACACACACACACACACATATACACACACACACACACACACACACACACACAACACACACACACACACACACACACACACACACACACACACACACACACACACACACACACACTGGCATAAACACAAGAAGATGCACATAATCACACATATACAGAGAGAGATTCCTGGGTAATTCGCTTCATTGTACTTGGGACTAGCCCAATCCCCCTCCTCTGTCATCCAAGTTTCATATATTCTTAGCTTATTGTTATTTAACAAATACGCCTGTTTCACAACTGTATTCATAAAAATATTTTGGGGTAATTCTGGAACTTATTATGTCCGTAAATGTTACATTTATAGGATTGGAACCAGTCTTTTATTTTGATTTAAGTTGATGTTTTGGATCAGAGATTGTGCTTGTGAGAGCGTTCTGATGATTGTTTCTAACACTATTGCACACACAGGCACTATTAACTCATATGACAGAACAACAGGTGCCTTTTGTTTCTTTGAATCCTAGCATGCCCTGGAATGAATGGGGGCTGCAGGCACCAGGGGATGTGAGCTGTGCAGAGTGGGAGCGCAGTGGCATGATTTTGCCTGAAGTGTGAAGCGGGATTTTTGAAAGTCAGAGCATCTGTGTTCTCTCTCGCTCCCAGATACCGCTCCTTCCCACCAGCCTCTGTTCAGATACAATGACAAAAGATTATTCATCTCTATTTTTCTCTCAAATTTGATGCCGACTTTTAGCTTCAAACTAAAATGGATGAGCTGATACACTTTGTGTCTGTGTGTGACAGCTCATGATGATATTTGGATTTACCAGAAACTGCAGAAGTTTCTCTTATTTTTGTTCCAGACCCTCTCTCTTGTTGCTAGTGTCTCTTTATATAAAGATGGGGAGGCATAACATTCAGAATGACTGCATTTTCTTTCCTGCACTCCAGACATTTAGTATGGTGGGAGCTGAGTGTCGACAAATACTCAAGATTATAAACCAGGTTACAGCCAGGCTGGACCTGACATTTATTCCTTTGTGTTGTCAAGTCAAAAAAAATGCCAGATCATAAAGGTCCCCTATTATACTCTTATTCAACAATATATTATAGGTCTCAGATATATTCAGAACATGTCTCTGAAGTGTTTGGCTCAAAATACCAAACAGATCATGCATTGTAGCATCCCATAAACCCCTCTGTTTCAGCCCTGTTTCAAAAGTGCTGATTCTGTAGCTTTAAATCAGGGGTGTCCAAACTACGGCCCGGGGGCCAAATGCGGCCCTCAGGCTATTTTGAATCGGCCCTCAGCTAATTCTAAAAGTATAATGAAATATGGCCCACAAATGAAACTTGTGCTTTTCTTATATTGTACTTCTTAAATATATATGTACAAATATATTACACAGTAGTATTCATGTGTTAATAAGCCCACTTTTCAAATAAATTCAGTCAATTCATGTTGAAAACATTTTACAACAAATCTTAGTTGATAAAAAAAGCCCAATCACTTGTTTACATAACAAGCTTGAAATATAGCCTTCATACTTCCCCTTATTATAATCACTCTGGGGCTTCTGTTTTAAGGGATGAGCTGCCAACAAGATGAATGAAACCCTACAGAGAGCTGTGATGTAGGCTGTTTTTTTCTTAAAGCATATTCATGTGTCAAGCCTAATTTACCTTCATGTTGCTAACTTATAACTTAACTTAAGAGGCAATATACCTCACCTCTATAAATGCAAATGAACTGCCCCTCCCCATGCCCCTCTGCAAGATGTTTGGTTTGAAAAAACACAATGATGCTCCAGGAGGATATTCAAGTGATAAGGTGGGCAGGTTTTACCTTGGCTGGTTTCTGGCTAATGGTTACACAACCCAAAGAACATTGTGACATCATAAAGTGGCCAAAATCTGATCAGCTCATTTTCAGACAGGTTTTTATATAAATGGAACAGGACTTAAAGAGTGAGAATCTTTTTTCCTGAAACTTTCCGAATCTCTTTACACAGAGGGGAGACATATTTATGTATTAAAGACATGAAAACGAGGATTTTGCATAATAGGTGACCTTTAAACTTCCCACAATGCAAATCAAAGAGTCTCTCAACTCACCTTCCTTAGAAATCTGCAGTTCTCCTAGCCTTATCAGAGATGACCCAGATGACATAACCAGGGTTTTTTATCACTTGACAAAACTCCCTTTAGGGCCTAAGAGATATTATACTGTGAAAATGTTCACAGGCTCAGTACTCCCTGAGTTGGTGCAGTGCCCCTAGAAGAATCTCCACCTTAATTTGCTCGCTTGTAAGTGAATCTGTTAAATCTTTGTTGAGAATGCTTTAAGCGTAATCCTCTCTCCACTAAGAGACTGTGGCAGCCGCTGCCCTACCACCACCAGGCCCTCAAGGCAAGCTGGGGATTATGTTGCTATCTCTGCTTTAATGTTTATCCACATTGACACAAAAATAAATATCATATTACACTGTGGAGCTTTGATACCAGGCCAGAAAAGTCTGTTCAAATGAGAGTTTCAGTGTTAGCCTCAAAGTAACATGAACATAATAGATTGTTTTAATTACTCTATACAACACAATCTACATGACACTACTTTAATACCTTCATACTTTTATAATAATAATAACTGTACTTGACTGTTTGGACACAAAGTGATGGGATACGATAGCTCAGGCACGACTCTGGATGCCCTGCCATCTTTATTGCAAAATCAAACATCATTAAAATACTTGTTAACAACAATTTGCTGAACATTGTTGAATTCATTACTAATGTGCCAAGAAGTGAAACAATGCAACATTTGTTAGTGCTCAAGTATACACTGAACTTTAGTTTGTTTATTAGAACACTCCGCAAGGCACTTTCAAGGATAATTTCTGATCTGTTCATGACGTCTTTTATGCTATCATATTATTTCCTTTTGTGTATTTATTTAAACATGTTTGTGTGTGTGGTAAGTATTATTTCAGTTTTTGCACAATAAGTCCTTGATACAGTTCATTTTATGTGGAATAACTACGATGAGATCAGGATTTTGTTCCTACTAAAGCTAATGACTAAACTAAATTGTTTTTTTTTACTTTAAACCACAGCAGGTTTTCAAAAATATCCTCCATGTTTCTTGAACCTGATCAAATGCCTTGAAACTAATAATGTTAAATGCAGTGGCGATTCTTCAGGGCTTTGATGTCAAATTAAACTTGGATTATCTGAGCGGCACATACCAGGGTCAGCTACATTTGAGTGTTGATGTGGTTACTGGATTCAGATTACAGCAGAATACTGTGAGAGTGAGGCAGAGAGAGACAAAGAGAGAGGAAGTGAGAGGATGAGGGAAATAGAAGCACTTGTGTTGTACTTGGCAAATATGCCGTGAGTTTCAGTGGATCAGTGAAGGTAAGTGTGTGGGTGGATGACGGCGCACATCCTCTCCTCCATTTCCACTGAAAACACATTCTGTGCAGGTGGGAGACGTATGCCGGAGTGTTTGTGTGTGTGTGTGTGTGTCCGTGTGCGTGCGAGTGTGCGTGCGTGTGTGTGTGAATTTTATGTAACGGAGACTGTATGTGTGAACCACCCATCAGTCCGCACAGTTAAGATGTGATCAAATGGTAATTGCAGGCTTAAGATGCATGTGGCACAATGTGAGCGCTAACAGAAAATCAAGACTCACACTGTGCAACAAACAGACACACAGCCACTTATAAGCTCAAGTAAGAGGAAGTGAAGGAGTTACGTTTTGAATGCAGCGGTTTGTTTTTTTCACCTTTTTTATGTGGGTCAGGAGCATAATGCTAAATACTTTTGCCCTGGAGAGCCCCGTTCTCATGCTGCTAAATATAAGCTTCTCAAACAGTACGGGAAAGCAAAGTGAGGGCACTCTTTGAGAGTGGAGACAGAGTGGGTTCAAAATGCATCGCACAATGTGAGGAAGGGGGAGAATGAGCAACTCAAGAAACAGAGGTACGAAAAAGTTACAAAAGAGAAAACTTTACAAAAAAGAAGATTGCTTTCAGCTGGGAAAACGCTGTATTCTATGAGACTGTTTTCAACCACATCAATCATTTTAGACTTGGGGCGAATTTCAGATTCGTCATGCGTTGTTTGGACTGTGCTATGGCACCCAGCACAAATAATTATTATTGAATCAGACAGTGAAAGAACATA